TAAATAATATTTAAATGTGTGCAATGTGTTGAGTGTCAAGTGACTTTTGAGACACCTTGTATATATCAGAGTTGTTGGAAGCATTTCCTGAAATTTAGTTTCTACACTATTTCAATATAAGAGCTTTGCATCCTGTAGAATACCCTTTAGGACTCTTGAAAATTTTTTTCAATTCTTTCAAAACGTGGTTTTCATGCTAATCAAAAATATAGTATTTAGATTTTGGAAAAATAAACTTCTAATAATGAAAAATGTGCTTCTATGAGGAACATATCACATGATGATCCGTCAATGTCTTTCTTTTTTCGCTTGAAAATTTTTTAGTAAATCATGAGATTCTATCTTCTAAATTATAGTACTGTATGCAGAATTTGTTGCTCTATTAATTCCAAGTAAATATAGTCCCAGAAAATACCAGTGCATCGATATAATATCGAATGAAATCAGTGGTGTCATTTTTTATTAGTCTCCTCTATTCTAATTATAAGGTGATCGGATGTCAGGAAACTTCATATACATCTCGACACTATTTTCCATGCTCTATTCGAATATGAAACTACAGCAGTAAAAAAAAGTGTAACACCTGATTTCCGGAGATCCTTTGAAAAATCGAGCATAACTTAAAATCTATTTCTAGAAGTTTGTTCGATTCGGTGACTAAATTAACTTCCTCTTAAATTTGTTTGAAACCAGTATTTATCTTTTGATAGGAAGAAGCAAAAATCATTAAAACTTCTAGAAACAGGTTGTAAGTTATGCTCAATATGATATCATTGTTGAGAAGTTCAAAATATTAATAACTCTATGTTTGATTTTTCGAAGAATCTCTGAAAACTTGGTGTACATTTTTTTTTTATTGTTCTGATTTCATAATCGAATAGAGCATGAAAAGTAGCATCGAGATATATATAAGATTTCTTGACAGGCAATCATCTTATAGAATAAAGGAGGCTAATAAAAAGTGACACCACTGATTTCGTTCGATATTATGTTGATATATTAATATTTTCTGTAGCTATATTTTAGAAGATAAAATTTAATAATTTACTAAAGATCTTCAAACGAAAATAGAAAGTTATGTTGACAGATCATCATGAGATCTATTTAGCAGTGACTAATTATTTTCGAAATAAAATTTAACGAACTCTTACCGCTAACAAAGTAACCGTTTACTATGTTGCAATAATGTATTAGTCGACGAAAAAGGCAATGCTCGAGTTTTTTTTTTCTTCTCTAATAGTACGCTATACTTGTTAACCTTCTCGTATAATACTATCTTACTTTATCGTATTGCTTATTTCGTACGCAAAAACGTGCACATAATTCTCGTTTACCTTTCTTTTAAATAGTGATGTTTAATACCTCACCTACAAAATGGATTATAAGACATACATATTACCTATCGAAAGTTATTTTGAGATGAACACACGTGAGTCTTTGTATACAGCTATTACGCACCATTTTTATTTTTTTCTGTTAAACTAAAAATAGATCCAAATATTAACAATGACGTATATTGATCCACCGAAGTCACACCCATCCATGTTTTTCTTCACTTATTGTTGGATAACGATAGGGGTATTGATAAATTTGTAAAAGATAGATGTCGTTTAATCATAATATTCAGCTTTTAAAAAAATTTCTTAGTTCATTTTGAGAAGCTAATTAAATACATCATTATGTCTTCAAATGTGGAACGAAGAACATTTTTTATAAGAAAATATTGATTTTCAACAGTAAACCTCATGCAGTACTTCGCATTGCGACATAAAATTTATTGATATACGTTAAATAACAACAGTTCAATATGAGAATCAGAAAAAAATTTTAACAAAAAAAATATTTTCAAGAATTCAAAAAAGAACTTTTTTAAAAACATATTTCAAAATGTATGCGAGCTTTTCAATACAAAATTATTCTAAAATTTCTATTAAAAAGTTTATTAGTTTTATCCGATCTTTTATCCAAGAAAATATTGTGATAAAACAGGCATTTTTTTTTAAAATTTCTGCACATTTTTAAAATTTTAGTATATGAAACTCGATAATAAAATTTAAAAAAAATAAACAAAATACCACAAATAATTCTTATGTACAGAGCTGCGCAAGTACAAATGTAATTCGTAATTTCGATGACTCATGCGCTTCCGTAAATAGGATATGTATTTTCAGCATCTTATATGTAAGGTCAAAAAATCTAGAATTGCAAGATTTGTACTCTGATATATTTGCTCTTATAATCCTATGTATTGAGTATCGATGTGAATAAATAGAAGATGACCAGTTACATCCACAATTCACACTTCGTTTTATATAATTGTGCATTAAAAAAAATAATCTCGATGAATATGGTGACAAGGAAACTAGAATTAAGAGCAGTTTAATGTTACCTTAGAGAAGCTTCAAATTTTTAGTCTATCCTACGGAGAATTCAAATAGTGATTCTTTTTCATCAGTGGCATCTGTAAAACATATATACTCACCATGCCTGACAGTTTCATTGTGCATTTCTGTGCTTGCGTTCGATCGATTTCGTTAGGATGAACAAATGTTGGTTTTACTTTTTGACATCAATATAACTGTCATATTGCTTCAAGAAGAATCATGCAAAAGTCTCATCAGCTAAGATGGATTTGTAAGTTAGTGCACGCATTTTGTTTCTCTTTCAGTGCTATGCAATCCTTTTCTTACTGTTCTATCAAGTCAATTTGAATGAGTATCTGTAATACTGTCATTCAGTAGAGAAAGGCTTCTCAACTAAATGTAGGAGACGACAAGGTCCTAATCTTACAATGTGTTGAGATAATTAACCATCGCTCGCTATGATTAAAAATTTGTGCTTTTCTACATCTAGATAAAATAAGCATTCGTCGAAAAATTCCAACCATTGAAACTCTATGTTATTTTACCATTTGGATCACAAGAAGTTTTGCTCGCTAAAATCATATTTTATTTTTCTTAAGAATTAATCTACTAACGGTTTGCATCGTTAAAGATGTAAAAAACCTGGAGTAGTGAAAAAATAGGTTCTGCCATAAATAATTGTAGTTTCACAATTTTAACACATGGAGATGTGAAACGTCTTAAACGATGGAATACTATTTTGTACTATTCCACTTTAACCTTTTTTGGATTTTAACTATACTCTTGTTTTTTGAAAAAAAATATTATTAAAACTATTTTAGCACGTTTGAAAATTCGATATTCTAGTGACGAAATCAAGAACTATAGTGCCATTTTAGAGGTTCACTTCTTCGTTCGAAATGAGACCATTCAAAAAGCTTTTCAATAAAAATTATGTTATTAGGCTCATTTCTATGTTCGTTTTTGTGCAAACGAGAGAAACAACTTACAACTACTTAAACAAGCTGTCCGCTTTATGGCGGGCGTCAATGAAATATCGTTATAAAATCGGAAAGAAGTGATATTTACGATCAATTGTCTACATATTCTGAAAGCGCGTTTGTCAGTCTACAAGCTTAGTTCAAAATCAAATTTCTGAAGAAGGAGTCCACTTATAGAAACGTTTACGAAATAGAAACTCAACGATCTAATCAGAACTTTCGTATGAGTATATAGGGAGCATTCATTGTTTTTTTCGTAAATTCGTTGATTTTTCATCACCAGTTTCACTTTTTAACAATTAATGGAACTTATCGTCTTATGTAAAGTATTGGCATGCTTGAATTTTGACACAATCAAAGAATTTTCAATAAGTCTCGTAAGAAATAAATTTAAAAGGAAAAAAAAGTTCAACTTGCCCCTTATAATTTATGTCCGAGAAAGAACGATATTTTCTATGAAGTAAAATCGGTACTACAATGTCGCCACCAACAAAATTCATTTACAGTTCAAATTGAAACAGTTGGAGCCAAATCCAGGAACATTTGCTCATATGTAGCAAATAAACGAACTGAATACTATATGGATATTAGATCTTCAATCGTTGATCATAGATTGTTTGTATGAAGATGCGAAAAAAAATTATTTTAAGTGAACAATAAATGAGTTATAAATATGTTGAAATCAAAAATTTCTAGTCAACAATTGAACTACTGTAAATAATTTATGCTGAAGAATTGTTTGACGATTAACTGTTTCAATTTGAGAAATCTGTGTCATACTGAGATTCCATTCATATCCCATGTGTACGATGGAACGAAAAGTAATTCACTTGATTTCATTCATTTTCTTCGTATAAATGCTTCCAAACAGCAGATGTTAACTATCAGAAAGTGAGAACTTAGGTTTATTTTATTGGATGACATTTATCAAGGACTTATTCAAGTTGTTCAGTACGAATACAAACGAAATTCTATCGAATACGTGCATTCATTTTTCATTCTTGTAATTGTTTCGCTTATGTTATTAGTAGTAGTTCTGTATCTTTAGTGCTGATATAATCGTCATGCAAGATTCATCGATTTGATATTTTCACAATCTATTGTTGTAGCCTCAACTTTTTTTTTTCAAAATAACGTTCTTCTTCTTCCTCGAAAGAAATATGCATCAAAACTAGTAGTTCTTCGAAAAGAAAGAAAAAAATACCTACATAATGATATAGTCTTCATTTTTTTTCTTTTCGTTCTTCAAACAGAACGCAAACACTGAAAAGATTAAGATGAATCTTTTTCTTTTTTTTCTCTTCTGTTCTGGAAACATTACGCAATAGGATCGACATGGAAATTACCAAAATGTGGCAAAAAATACGTCGAGTAATTTTGGATCCAGAAATTTCTCGAATATTCAGGTGAATACGAGACGGAATGTTGCACATTTTATCTACACTATGAGTAATGCCATGCTTTTCAATGTTGATTCTTTCACAAAACTATGAAACATTTTCTTATCAAGTCTGTCTCACGTATGCTGAAATTTTTCGTTATTACTCAGAAAAGGAAATAACCTTATGTCATCATTGTGTCCTTACATCACCCATAGGTAACAACAAATAATGAAATCATTTATAAATAGTTAACAGTCACATACAGTATTATAGCAATGACGACCAAACAATTAAACGTTACGGATAGAATTCTCCTCCACGGTGTCGATACCGAACTTTCGGATGATTATATTAGAAGCGAACTGTTAAAAACTTATCAAGGTGTTAAACACGTTCAACGATGGTACCGTAAAGATAAAGATAAACATGAAAATGAAATTCCAAAGGATCTTGTCCAAGTTAATTTTATATCACCAAAATACACCGAAAGGTTTCTTCAAGATGGGTTTATTAACATAGGTAACCTTCGCTGTCAAGTGGCACCTTTAAAACCAACTATACGTCTTGAGAACGAAATTAAAAGTGACAATGAATCAGATTGTCAATCAGAAAGATTCACCGAGGAACAACAAGTTACTGATAAAATTCTCGTCCACGATGTTCCTACGCACATTCCTGATGAGGATCTTAAACAAGAACTATCAAAAATTTACCGTGGTATTAGATATGTCAAGCGATGGTACTATAAAGATGAGTCAAAAGCTCCAACGGAACGTGTTCAAATTGATTTTACATCATCAAAACATACCAAAACTATTCTTGAAAATGGTTTCATTAATGTTGGCCGGTATTGTTGGCCCGTGACAGCTTTAAAGCCAAGTATGTATCTACGTAACAAGCTCGAAAGTGATAGTAGATCATATTATCAACCACAGATACTCACTGAACAAGATATATTGCACACATTTGAAGAGCAAAAAAAGTAAGTGAAACTATAATCAATTAAGAAAATAAATTCCATTCATCTCTAATTATAGACAATTGAACGATTTGATGTGTCATTTTGACGATCAACTCAACAAGACCGTTCGTCTTCTGTGCAAGGATGCCCATGACTCATCATCTGGCTAAACGACTATTATGGTTTTATTTGTAAATGAATTTGTCTAAATTTAAATTCATTATATTGTTTATATTTTGTGTGATTAATATTGTCAGATTTGTTTCTAGAAACATATATTTCATGAAAACGAGAATAAAAATAAAATTTTATGCTACTCCAGCTCACTCAGCATCATACATAATCAATACACTTCCATCGTATCGATGAATAAATCGTATGAAAGTGTAATAATGATTCACTATAATTGAATTGATAGACTTCAAGTAAAATATTGCAGTTTTTCAATAGCAATATCATCTTGAGTTATGTGTTTAAATAGTAGCTAGACACTTTGAATTGATCAGATGATCTGTCTTTATTTATTAGTGATGAAATATCTTTATTTTTCTATTTGAAGAAATCGAAATAAAATCAATCACTAATCATTACTTTAATCGTATAAAAATAAAAATACGATCAAAAGTGAACGAAAATTCTTTGAGGAACTTAAAGTATTAGTCTAATTGCTAAAAAATGTTGTCTTATTAACTAATATTCAAAAATGCTGAAAAGATCCTAAAATATTTCTATCTTTCGAACGACAGAAAAGCAACTCGAAATACAGAATTATTATAGAAAATAGAAAATCTGTCGATTAAAAAACTTGAGCAATATCTTCTTCTGATTACGAAAATTAGAAGTATTATGCTTGGATTATGTTAGTTAGAAGCATACTGTTTTTTTTGTTAATTCCTGTGCCTGCTTTAGTCATCGCAAGCAATATAATGAGTAACAACCGAAAACTAACAACCAAACATTTATTTTTTTTTTCTTTTATTCTTCCATGACACTTGACTCTCTTCTATTTAACAATGATGGCATCGTTACGACAAGATGCAAAGCTAGCAAATGAACAGTGATGACGTTACTACAAGATAACTACATACACATTCGTTTTCCTTGATCTTCCTCAACGAAACCGAATGCGTATAGACATGAGCAATGTCGTACGGCAATTAGTGATTGAGAAGAGTGGTTATTACAACTTTACCAAGAGGTAAATGATCAAATCTAATCAAATATATGTTGCGATGACAAAAATGAGCGGGCTAGTGAGAAAATCAGCCTGCGAGAACAACATCTTCGTAACAATTAAATAAGAACGAAAAGTTCGAATGATTTATATATTGCATGTGCTGCGTGGTAAGTCATTACTAATAGAAGTATTGCGAAGCCTCATGCTAATACCTTTATTAATCTTTGACAACTTTTGATTGATGAGTATGTCGTTCGTCTCGCGATGAAAACAAGTCGTATAAGATTTCAGTTAGAAATTATCTGATGTCGTTCGCCATCATCATGAAGAGAACACTGTTACCTTGACAACATTACTTGGTGACAACAATGAAGAATAGAAGGAAAGGTGAGTATTACTGTTTGATTTGTTCGGTATCGCTTCTCGACATTGTTGGCTAAGATCAAAGTTTACTATCTATTCTTGTCGGTTTGAAATTTGATGCTGGCTTATTAGAACCAGATTCTTTCAAGTGGATCTTCGGACATAGGTCGGAATCATGCGATTTCACTCAGATTGATAGAGTTGTCTCGACACTTCAGTACAATTGATTTTGGTCTTTACTCTCGTTTGTTTCGAGTAATAGGAACCTCTTTCTTATTGGTGATTAAAACGAAATATAAGCGTTACATCTCTCTTCGATCGTGTAGCACTGTTTTCTGTCAATCGATGATTTGCAGCCGAATGACATACTTTTCCGTTCAGAGAAATAATTTGCTAAACTGAATACCTGTTGCGTTGATAATGTTGAATACTTGAAAGTATTCATCCTACACTTCTCATAACACAACTGAAAACAAAATACTGAATATTTTACGGGTCAACTTTTTTATCTGTCGAAAAAAAATAGATTACTAAGGAGTTCATCAGAGGTATGCGATGCATTACATAGTCTGATACAGTCATTGAACATTAGAAAACATAAGAGGACTAATGCCAATGAGACTTTTATTTGATTTTCGATCAGAAACTGTGAAAATTGTTTTTTTTCTCAAAAAGCGCATTTTTGCTTGCATTTTATTAGTGTCATTTTTAGGGTCAAAAACTAGCTGACTGTCGTTATTAGGGAAATGGACCCTAATAACAGCAGACGCAGGTTGTCTTCGTATACTGCTGATTTCTCCGCGACTACGTGTCAGAGAAAAATGGTTCTTATATCATTCGAAAGAGGACACTTCCAAGATCATGCATGTGTAAAAATATTTTGATTTGAATGTAAAATGGCTATGCACCAAATCAAACAAGACATGTTATTTTTTTAGTGTCGTTATTAGGGACATTGACTGTATTGGTTCTTGCGATAATCGTGATATTATTTTTGCACTACGTATTGACACATAAATGGACCAATATAGAATTAATAATATGTTGGATTACATTGGTGAGTGCTAAAAGATTTTTGAGAAAGAAATCTTTTGGTATTGTTTTATGACAAAAATATAAAAAATTTTCATAAAAGAAATCATCATTTTTTGTATATAATAAGATATATTAATGAGAAACTAAAAAAAGAGGGATCTTCGATGATAATAAAATTACTTTTGACTTTTTTCATTCTTTTTTTAGGCTTTATATGTACCATTATTTGCTTCAGTATTTCTTATGTTTTGGCGCATATTCATTAGCATGAACTTACTTGAAGATAGTACATTTAATCCAACTTAATTCATCAATTTTTAAAACACAATCAATTCTCAGTTAAATCGAACTTTATATATGAATTATGACTTCTTTTTTTCATTTCAATTCTTTATTCGACTCATTCATAAAAATAAATTTAAGTGAAGGAATAAACCATTTTTTAAATGGGTTTGTGCAGCTCAATATTCACTAGAAAAGTTCTTTCAATCCCTAATTAAGAGGATGCTGCTCAAACATATTAATAAAAATTAATTATAAAGATTATATGTACAAAAGTATGATCAAGTAATAATGAGCTCTAAATAGTTTTCTATTCTTCAGTGTTAGTTCGTAACATTTGATTCGCTATTTCTCATAAATATATAACATATAAGATATGTGTGATACCAAAGAGTAAATATGATAATCCATATTAAAAAGATTAAGTATAAAATGGTCAACTAGAACTATGAAATTTATTTAATAATGAGTATAAAATTCTCATTCTTGATTATCATTATCGGAATCTATCTAACACTTAGCAACCACTATTTCTTTCTTGTATCTTATTAGATGAGTTCCTCTGTTGATCATTCTCTCGATTCTTTTTCTGCTCACGAGGGAAGGCCACCAACTGTCTCCTCGCTTTTGAGCTGAAAC